AGAACAGCCACATCACTACCAACGGCCTACAGGGCTCGTGTAAATAGGAAGGCACTAAATGCGATGTTGAGTGTGGACACTCACATTAGATAGAAAGTGCAAATGGGAATTTGAGCGCAAAAGCGCAAAAATAATTGAACCCCATCTGGACCCGCATATTCCTTTGGGTCTTAAGGTATGGGTCATACAAACCTCGCAAGCATCATGTGCAGTTCCAAATCCGGAAAAAGACATCTCCTCCAGAACGGAGAGGATTGGCTGAAATCCCTTCCATGAATCTCTTCTAAACAACCTTTCCTTTGTTTTCATGGAAGGAATTGAGCCATCTCTGTGTTGTTGTGGAGGAGTTCCAGTTTTCCAGATTGGGAACTGCACATGACATTTGCGAGGTTTGTATGACCCATACCTTAAACCAATTTGCATTCATAATGACATTTTAAAATGTATAAACGACACCAGATTAAAGCAGGATGTTGGGCCGAAGGGAGACAAGACCGGGAAACTCGGATATAGAGTGGAATCCGACGTCTATCGTAGTACTCACTATTACCGTGCTCTCAATTATGAACCTCCGCAAATATTACATCCGGTTACCGGTACAAGTATGTTCTGTTGTTGTATACCTATAAATTCATGATAATATCAATTTATGCAGCCGCGAACATTTCCACTTGAGCATCAAATCTAAATAATCAACCTGCAGCGCCCCCTCTGCAAACCCCAGTCTCTCAAGCCCTCCGAGGGAATGGAACCCTTGCCTTCCAGCGGCAAAGACGCTCGGGTAATACATGATTAACACTAGACAACTACCGTGGTCCATGAGCGCTTAGTTGTATATTTACGGACTTGTCAATGTGTATGTATGCAATGAATTTCCAGACCTCCACACCATTTGCAAGAGAAATCAGCTCGCGGAGCCCCTACGAATAAATCCAAGTAAGATATGGAACACCACAGATCATGCACGGAGTTTGCCATTCGGTCAGCGAAAAAAGGCAGTGCAATATCACCATACCCTCAGAGGGAATCGAGCCCTCGCCTTGTGACTGTACTGTCCTGTTCTCCGTCTAATTTGAACCAGACAACCACCATGATCTACGGAGGCTTATCTGTATCCTTTGTGGGATCGGTTATATATGCATTTTTTTGCGTGCGCACAATGAGTTTCGCGATGTGAACCATACATTTACGTTGGAGAGAAATCAGCTCGCAGAACTTCTGTGAATAAAATCTAACTAATATATATTGGGCCAACAGATCTTGAGTTGAGCTACTCCTAAACTCTCTGAAGAAAAGGAATGTATGAGACGTGCACCTTAATCCCCTCGGAGGGAATCGAACCCTCCAAATCGCGTTCCGGATTTACGCCATTCCAATTGAACCAGACGACCACCATTGTCCACGAGGGATTATTAGTACGTTTGGAACTTGGGTATAGATGCGTCTTTTTCAATATTTAAGTTAATGAAGACGAAAAATGACATTGCCACTCAACCCCGCCCTCGGGGAGGATCAAGCCCTCACCTTCTAGCGGCCAACATGCTTCGCCAATTGAATCGGACGACTGCCATGGTCCACGAAGGCATGTTTGCGGCTTTGTGAACCTGGTCATATCGACTCCTTTTTGTGTAGGGTGGCAGATGAATTTCGAGACGTAAATTGCATTTACATCTGCAATATAAGAAGTCAGCTTGCGGAGGCAGCTGCTCCGCACTAAAATCCAGCCGCATGACAGACAGATCTTGAAGCCGATGTGAAACATATTTAAAAAAAAAAAGGAAATTGAGCTGCTAAATCGGATGCCCTCGGGGGGAATCTAAGCCTTGCCTTCTTGTCGTAAGTTGGATCCACTCGATATAAGTGAACCAGACAACCGCCATGGTCCGCGATGGCTCATTTGCATCTTTTGTGAACTTGGTTTTGTGCCTCTTGTTAAAGAGGTGCGGTGAATTTACGGCCGTAAATATTATTTCCAAGAGAATTCGGCTTGCGGAGCCTTCTGCGAATAAAATATCTCTAAATCCGACAGGTTATGCATCTTCCTACGTGCCCACAAAAATAAAATAAAATAACACTTGTCCCGCCCATGCACTCGGAGGAAGTTGCGCCGCGCTTGAACCAGATGACCACCATGGTCCACAAGGGCTTATTTGGAAGATTATGGGCCTGGTTGTATATGATAGTGCAGCTGCGGTTAATTGTAGCTCGGAGCCGTACAGTTACGAGTTTGAAATTCGCTCGTGGAACATCATAGATCTTGAATTAATCCTAAACCCGCTGAAGGAACAAAAATGGATTTGTTTCAATCCTCGCCTTCTGGTCATAGCCAGAATCCTAGCGCTCCAATCGAACTAGACGGCCCCCATGGTTCACGGGGGCGTATTTGTATTTTGTGGGTTTGGGTATGGGTACATTCAGGCGGGTGTATTTACGCACCAACCTCATCGCTGAGAGGGAGTTGGGCGCACTGGTGATCGGGAAAAGGAATGAGTGGTTTGTGATTCTAAACTTTGAGATGGACGTCATTCCTACCTGCACAGATAGCGAGCATCCTAGAGATTCAAAATAAAACTTAGAAAATTCACCGCGGTGCATATTCCCTCGGAGGGAATCGAACCCACGTCTTCTGGCTGACGGTCCTCGACGCGTGATTTGGACCAAATGACCACCGTGGTCTACGAGGGCTTGAATGTATCTTTTGTGAGCTGGGGTATCTGTGTGCATCGTTTCTCTGGGCGCACAGTGACGTACATATTCTTTTCAAAGGAGCTCTCTCTGCTGGCTAAATATCGGGCACACAGATATTGAACTAAACCTATTTCTGTGGGGAAAAAAAAAACTAACAGCCGCATGCCCTGGGAGGGAGTCGTACCCATGTCTTCTGGCGGTAATTCCATCCTCATGCAATTGGACCAGACGACCACCATGGTCCACGACGACATATATGTAGTTCTGGGCTTCGTTCGTTATGTGTGCGTTTTTTCATGTCGTGAACAAATATTTACTTACATAAGATGAAAAATAGTATTATATCGATCCCAATCAGGCACTCGGAGAGAATCGAATCCTCGACTTCCGGCATTGCTTGAAGAACACCGCTAATTGAACCAGACGACCACCATGGTCCACGAGGGCCTATTTGTATCTTTTGTGAGCTTGGGTATGTGTGTGTCATTTTGGAGCGGATCTTTAAAAACCTGGCTGGATTTCGTTGAAGAAAATATTGTATTTACGCTGAAGAGAAATAATATTGCATGTATACCGACGGCTCCTCCGATGAATCCGTAAAAAAGAGTGGATTATCAGATTGCGCTTGCTGGAGGGGGGGAAAAGAGGATTACATTATTCCGATGCCCTCGGAAGGAATTGAACCCACGCCTTCTGGTTGCAAACATACACATCTTCGCGTTTAATTGAATCAGACGACCCCCATGGTCCACGAGGGCTTATCTGTAGCTTTCTGAACTTGGCCATATCGACTCCTTTTACGTGAGGACATAGACCAAAGTGGGTTTCGAGAAATGAATATTATTTCCAACAGAAATCAGATGAGTTCCAGCTACAAAGTATATATTCTGAACACAACAGCTGTCGCACCAATTCGAAGCTCAGAGGAAGAAAAAAGCAGTCTCGCCATCAATGCCGACCATGCCCTCGGAGGGAATCGAACCCACGCCTTCTGGCGGTACTCAGGGAAGGCAGCTTATTTGAACCAGGCGACCACCGTGATCCACGAGAGCGTATTAGTAGGTTTGTGAACCTGGGAATATTGGCTGTCTTTTGTGAACTAAATCAACGAAGGAGCTCCGCTGATAGACACCTCCGGATCTCGCACAAGCGCGGAGCTGAGAGGAAGAAAAAAGAATCTGGCCAAATTCCCATGCGCTCGGAGGAATAAAACCCTCGGCTTCTGGCGGTTTGGAACCTATTTTCACAATTGAAGCAGACAATCATCATCATGGCCCACGAGGGCTTATTTTGGAATTTGTGAGCTTGGTTAGGTGTGGGTCATATTTCCTAGTCTAGTCTTACTCGCGCTTCCGAAGCACGTGATCCTGCGCGCATCGCTGAACGACGCGCCGCCGCGATGTTAGCACAGAGTGAACTGGACCAATTTGATACTGGAATCTTCCTGAAGTTATTTCAGCACACCAATTTTGCCATACTTTGGCACCAGACCTCCGCTCACTTTCTGCAACCCATGTGAACTCAGGCACTGCCACTTCCTCGGGATTCACCGGCGAGCCTACATTGGGGCATTTTGCACCTTGGATTGCATGGAAAACTTTACAAATGATTCTTAAACCAATTTTAGAGCCTCCCGGGAATTAATACATGCCAGGGGACCCAGCACGGTCAACAAGACGAGAAAATTGAAATGGAAATATCTGGTTCACAGATCTTAAACTCATCCTGAGCTCGCTAGTACTTGGCCAAAAACACTCCGGAAAACCGACATGTCCTCGGAGGGGAATCGATTCCTCTGGCCATAAACATGGTCATCTTGCCATTAAATTGAACCAGACGACCACCCTAGTTCACGAGAGCTTATTTGTATATTTGCGGGCTTGGCTATGTGCCTTACTTTGCAGCCATTTTAGTCGAGCCGGAAAAAAGATTTGTATTCTGGATTATGCCCTCGGAGGGAATCGAACCCTCCTCGCCTTCTGGTCATAAAGTTGCGCCGCGCCAGACTTGAACCAGGTGACCACCATGATCCAGGAGAGCTTTTTTGTAGGTTTGTGAACTGGGTTATGTGCCTTGCTTTCATGCCGTGAATATGATATTTATTCGAGACTGAAAAAAAGTTATTCACCGCGCATGCCCTCGAAGGGAATCGAACCCTCGCCTTCTGGCCGTAAACATCGATATCTTTACCTTTAATTGAACCAGACGACCACCGTGGTCCACGAGCGCTTATTTGTATATTTGTGAACTTGCTCATTTTTCGGCCGTTTCACTCGAGCCGGAAAAAGGGTTTTAACCAGTCTCTGTGACCATGCCCTCGGAGGGAATCGAACCCTCGCCTTCTAGTTGACAAGATCATTACTGTAGTTAAACCAGACGACCACCATGGTCCACGAGGGCTTATTTATATATTGCGGGCTTGGGTATACATGCGTCTTTTGCATGCCATGAACACAATATTTACTCAAGACTGAAAAAACACGACACCAAAGGCATATACCCTCGGAGGGAATCGATCCCTCATGTTCTAGAGGTAAATCAAGCCACAAGCTCAATTGGACCAGACGACCACCATGCTCTACGAAGGCTTATTTGTATATCTGCGGGCTTGGGCATGGGTATGTGTGTGTTTTTTTTTGTCAAGGAGGCGCGGTGAATTTAGTAAATATTTCCAAGAAAAACGAGCCTCAGAGCATCCCCCCTGCAAATAACTTGCAGCTACATATTAATATCCATGTAAAATTACGGAACACGGTCGTAATTGTGACTTGCTCATGGAAAAAAAAAAACATTGGAAAACCACCATGCCCTCGGAGGGAATCGAACCCTCGCCTTCTGGCCGTACTCTGGGCGAAGGAGCTATTTGAACTGGACGACCACCATGGTCCACGAGGGTGTATTTGTATATTTGCGAGCTTGGTTTTATGTGCGTTGTTTCGCGGTGAGCGGTGTGGAATGAAGTCACGTATATCAATTTAGAACTTGAGATCTCGAGAAATAATCATCACAGTGCGGAGATTTCGGATCGCTGGAGGAAATACAGGGCTGTTGATTGGATAGGTGAGCTGTACGGGTTGAAACGGGGTGTACGGACGGGACTTGGGGGCATTACTGCCGACCGCGCTATCCTTTTCGGGGTTGGGTGCGTCTGGAATCTAGAGCGGAGTGGGCGGCTTTTCGTTATATCGCATCGTTGGCGTTGGCGGGGCGCGGCGCAAGGAACGCCGATTGAACGCGCCGAATGTAGTAGCGTGCTTCTTGTTGTCGACGTGAGCAGGTAGGATCAGTATTTTCGGGAGTATCGGTGTGTTAATTGGGTGAACGTGCGTTGGACTTGTAAATTATGGCAGCAGGATTCCCAGAAGACAAAGGGAACGAAGACGCCGCGCGTGGATAGATCGCTGGCAGCGGTTCCGACCAATTTCGAAGCTCTCGTGAACGCAGATCCAGATCAGGGTGACGTTGAAGATAGAGACAGAGAGATAAGGGATAAATTTCCGGGCGACGTCAGAGACACCGATGCTTGACAAAATTTCTGTTCCAACCCTCGATTCACGCATTATTTGAGCTTCAGCTCCAGCTGCAAGAAACGCTTGAGGAAGGCCATCGAAGTTGGGAGAAAGACACGTGTGCGACCGGATCATTCCCGTATGTACGTCACACCCAATTCCGGAGCTGAGGCCCGGTGGCCTTTGACTCTGCCCGCCATCCACTGACTCACTCTCCTGCTACACTTGACTGGACTACTTATTGTTATACCAGGCTTGCATTCAGTTGCACGCTTTTCTTCTTACACTTCTACTACTTGGCTACTTCTACTTGAAACGATATCGGATATCTAATCGGCTTCAATCTATTCTAATCGACACAGCACAACGACTGCAGCGCGGAGGACGCACACTTTGGACGCAACGCATATCTACACTATAGCACGACCACTGCATGCCGCCTCGCGCGAATCGCAGTGCCACTCCCACTACGACGACGACAGGCACTACTCCCCCCACTGGTACACCCTTCACAACGGCGACGACATCCTCCAAACGCCGCACACAGGCGCTGAGGATCCACCGCCCGCCATTGCCGGATCTAGAACTCGAGGAAGCGGGCGTGGACGAACCGCGCATGGAGGAGCAAGAGCGCGCGTCGCCGAGCAAGTACCCGACGCCGCTGCCTGACGAAGGGTCGCTGACACCTGTGGAGGAGGCGGAGGCAACGCCGCCGACGCCTGAGGAGGTGGGTGGGATTGTGGGTGAAGTTGTGGGTGGGGAGGTAGAGGCGGTGGTGCGTGGGATTGAGGTAGAGGCGAGGGTTGATAAGGATGAGCCGGTGGTGGAGAAGCAGCAGGAGGCGGTGGCGGGGACGAAAGGGAACGGGCAGAGGAAGAGCAGGGAAGAGAATACGGCCCATCTGCGCGCGCCGGAGGCTCCGAGGTGTGTTCTTTTCCTTACTTGTTTCTTCATCTTTTCGTCTTATCTTCCGCCATTTTCTTCTTCCAACTCGTATTATTCCTCCCATTTCTATTCAAATTTTGTCATACCTTTCTCTTATTCCGTCACTTTTCGTTCCTTTCACGCCTTTGCCTCGTTGCATTCCGTCCGCCTCATCATTCCACTCCATTGCATTGCATTCTACACGCCACGCCCGTCTCCGCATCTATTCTAATCCCGTTTGTGCTAAGCCTCATTTGTACTATGATCCATATGCCGCTTACTAACTAACGCCCAGACCCCGCCCGCCCTCCACCGCCCTCTCCGCAACGTCCGCCGCCACCGCGACAGTCTCCGCCGTCTCCGCAGCCGCCGCGCCCCTCGCGCGCTCCGCGCTCTCGCACACCCTGCGCGCATTGGGGGTAGCCCCGCCGCGAGCGACGCCGCAGACGGTTTATCGGCACCAGGATCGAGAGGTGGTTTATCCGCGCCAGGATGACGCCCCTTATCAGCACGGCTACCCTGGTGTCTCACCCCCGCGGGACACGACGCAGCACCCTTATCGCGCGTACCCATATCCATCTCACGGTGTTGACGCGCGCGCGTACCACGGCGATACAACGCGCAGGCAGAAAGCAGCTGAAGAGGAAGAAGACGATCCCATCCTCGCCGCGCGGTGGGACGAGGTCGCTGGGCGCCGCCTCCTCACGCTCACCTATGCGCACGGGCGCGGGCTGCAGGTGTGGGACGCGACGAGGCTTAGGGGGGTTAGAGAGGTTGTTAATATCAATTTGCGAGACGCCGACGCCACATCATCTGGCTCGGGGATCGAGAAGGAGGAGCAGCAGCAGATGCACGGCCCCGTGCTCGCTGCGGCCGTCCTGCCTGCGCGCGGGAAGGGGGACCAGGGACTGGAGCTGGAGTTGGGTGTGCTGTACGTGTCTTTTTTTCTCTTCTTTGACTCTCTTTTTTGGGGGGCGGTTTCTTCGGGGGTTTTTTGGGATGTTTTGGCGTGGCGATGCGGCACTTTTGGCGGGGGCGTCTTTGTCTGTGGGCGGTGTTATGGACGGGGTGTTCGGGGAAGGGGATGTCGGGGGGCCTTCTTTGGGTGCGCGCGTGGTGGGGGACGAACGTGAGGCTTGGGCGTTTCGCGGGGACGGTGGACGTACGCCGCGTGGACGCGTTGGAGATCGGGTGGGCGTGTCTTGACTCGTCCTTCCTTCGCGGGCAGGCGCATTCCATCCTTCATCCTTGTACGCGTCACCTCGGACGCGGGGCCTTCCTTTTGCTGCGACGACGACGGCGACCGACCACCCGGGACGCGATTGACTGTGTGCCGCAGGGGTGCCATCCCGCCTCGGCTTGCGTTCGGTGCTGTCGGCCTCAGCGACATTGTGTGGACGGGAGATGCGCGCGCCCGGTGGTGTGCGCCTCGTCTATCCGCGGCGTGGATATGGATATTATGCGCTGCCGGTGGGTGGGTCGGCCCCATCTATGCTGCGGCGGTCCTTGCGGTAGTGACGCGCGGGACTGGATGCATAATGCGCACTTGGTGTCTTCCCCGGTTCCTCATCCTTAGCGGTCGGCTTCTGTATTCTTGCCGTGGACGTCTTTGTCTGGTTCTTTATTTTGCGGGGGCGTCGTTGTCGCGTGTTGGGCGTGCGTTCGTGCGCAGTCGGCTTCTCGGGGTCTTGTCGTCTGCCATCCCCAGCCAGAGTCGAGCGCCGTGGCAGGTGGCTCTGCGCTTATCGTGGCCGCGCGCCTTGAGCATCGGCGGGTGAGAGGACGTGGATCTGTGCGTCTGTCTCCCCCGACAGCGGATCCCCCCTTCGCCCTTCTTCTCTTTTCTTTCCCCCTTCCTTCTTGTGGTTTCACCCCAGTCTCGAGTAAGGTTGCTGACCTCGTCCTTCTTGCAGCACGCCCCACGCGCTCTACATCTACGACCTCGCCGCGGGCCGCGTCTCGGCAGTATGGCACCCCCCCTCCGCGCAGCGGAATGGGAAGACACACAAGGATCACAGCGACACCGGCACACCCTGCGGATTCGAGGCTACGGACCGCCTCATCGTAGTCGTAAGCCTTCCCCCCTCTGCCCCCCAGCTGCTCCTAACCTCCTTCCTCTCCTCACCAGCGCACCCACTCGCCCCCCGCGCTCCTCGTCCTCTCCCGCCCGACCCTACGCACCCTGCACACCATCCCCGCCTCCGCCCTCGCTGCCCTCCCGCCGATCCCGCATCCGCCCAACGCCAACACCACGGGCAGCAGCCCCGCCTCCGCGCCCTCCACCTCCTTCGTCCCCTCCTCCGTGCCGCACCCCGCCGACGCGCCCCCCGCGCCAGTATGCGCGCTGCACGGCCGCTTGCTTGCCTTCCTCGCGCCTGCGCCGTCAGCGCCGCCTGCGACCGCTGCGCCGTCCGCGCACACCTACGTCAACGCGCACACCCACGCTCTACCCGACGCGCCCGCCGCCGAGCGCGACGGCTGGCTCACGGGCCTCGGGCGCTTCTTCTCGCGCAGCGCTCCCGCCGCGGGCGCGGCGCTGTCTGCGCTCGCGACGGGGTCGGGCCTGTCCGCGGCGGCGGGATCGGTGGTCGGGCAGAGCATAGGGAGCGGGGGCGGGAGTTGGGTGAGGGTGGTGGATCTCGGGGGCCTGAGCTCCGCAGCAGATAACGCGATCCACGACGACGCGCCCCTGCGCACGATCCACGCCTTCCGTGCGGGGGCCGGTGCGGTGGGCGGGCTGGCGTTTTCCGCGGACGGGACGCGGGTGTTTGCTGTAAGGCGGGACGGCGTGGGCGCGGGCGTGTGGGGGCTGCGGCCGGGCGCTGCGCAGGCGGAGCAGGTGTACGATCTGCGGCGCGGGCGCACGGGCGCGGTCGTCGAGGCGCTTGCAGGCGCGCGGGACGGGCGGTTCGTCGCGCTCGCGACGCGGAGAAGGACCGTGCATGTGTTTGCGGTGAACCCGTAT